ATAACTATCGTGGGAATAATTATTGCAACAGTTCCCAGAAACGCATTGTTGTAAGCGACATACAAGTCATAATTGTGTTTTAAAAAGTCACTGTAATCAAAGAGAGGGACTGTAGTATTGATATCAGCAAAGTGCACCCAGACAATTATATACGTAAAAGATCTTGGTGTATATATAAGTGTAGTAAACAGAAAAATAAAAACAACAATGCACTTAACGCGAAAAGTTGTAAGTAACCTTGATGCCACAAAAGGAAATACAACTGCAATCATTCTCTCTATAGCTATTAATGTTACCATAAGGACACTAAGGCATACAGCGTACTGATTCCACCCGTATATGTAAACTGAAAAGTATGAATATAATACATTTGCTAATACCTCGTCAATTAGCTTTACAATGCGCATAACTTGAAAGTACATTTCAGTAAAAGAAAATATTAAATCTGACACAGACAACGCTATTAAAACAATATTTGTGGTTTCGTTTAAGCCATTGTAAACAAGAATTACAATCGTAATAATGTTACCTATTATACTAAACACGCAAACAACTGGGATAATGATACAATTTAATAATATATTGATATAATAGAGTACTTCATCAGATACATCATAAAATGTCTTTGATAGTGTCTCTAAATCTGTTTGATTTTTCTCCTGCATTGTATACAAACACTGTGTCGAACAATATATTGTTAACACATAATTAACTTTATATCGTTCTTATTTTCTTTTTAAAACGTCTATGTAAATCAGGAATTTTAAATTAATAGATGCAACAATCCTCAAAAAAATGAAAAGAGAAAACACCAATTTTACAAGTTTTTCAGAAAGTATGTGTAATATAACATCTACGGAATTCTCCTTTAAACTTTGACAAATTGAATGCGTTTCGATTACCAGTTGCAATTGATAATTGAAAACAAACGGTTCTAAATAGGTTACACAATGTACCTTAGATTTTACATGTTTGTAATATGTTTGTTTTAATGTTGTATGTGTTGTTATTCGTATATAGAATTAAGAAAATGCACTGTCCTCCGAAGATTTAATATAACTTTAAAAAAAAAAATTGGAACCAAATAAAATTGGAATTTTTTTACTGAGACTTTCGAATATTTTTTTATCATACACTTTTCATAAGAACTATTGCCGTTTTTAATGCATCTGAAGAATATTGTTAGCAAGCCCATATGAATAATGGTATTTGATTCTACTTCTAACGCATTGTCTTATTTAATAGTATTTCAAGTATGTACAATTTGGTTAAAGCACGTTATAAAAAAATATAATTAAACTGGATATCGAAAAGAACGTCCTCAAAATATATCATTATTTTTCCCGGTGAAGTTTCTCTGAAGATATAATTTGTTTGCCCACTAATAATTTTAATAAGTAGAGTAAAATACTTTGTTTATGACTAAATCACACAAATAGTGTAGATATTATAGCTAGATGTATTATATGATTTGTATCGGTAAAACATATACTTATCTTAAGAAGCTTTTATTTAATATGTTCTATTATTTAGATACACTCACATATAGTTATTTTTTTTATCGGAACAACATAATTTCTTGAAATGTTTAATATGTCGAGACGTTGAAAAACATTCAAAAATATGTAATTTGGTCTCTTTATAGTTTTGCGTTACATAATCTTTCAAATAGATTGCTGCAGTTGTAAATACTAACTTACATAGGTTTTTCTGTCAGCTTAAACGTTAATCCTTTATGTATGTTTCTATTGAATGTAGCCTACTTATGATCTTTAAGACTTTTAAATAGACTGTGTTTACATATTCTTCTATCTAAGTTTCATCTATTAAGCGTTACTCAGAGAAACAATAATATTTATCAAAGTGTAATATTCTGTTGAGATATAAATGTTTAAAACAATCCTATGTGATGAAGTTTAAAATCAAATGGGCCAGCATTTTCGATCGAAGAATGCAAAAAAGTAAGTTATCTTAACATCCGATGCACCAGAGTGTAAATGTATTTCAAACTGACCAAGAGCTGTCTGACAACTTCTGTAATTCAATACTTCAGCAATCATTGCAATCGTACTTCAGAGTTTAGAAATGTGTTCGAACAAATTCCTTAAAAACTATTTTACTGCAATCTTTAGTTACGAAATTATCAAGGAAAATTTATTGATTTATAGTCGAAGATATCAATTTCACAAATACTATAATATTTGCAAATAGTACTCAGTGTATTTTATCTGATAACAGACGGCAATCAAATTATAAGTTACTGTAATCTGTTCAAAAGTGTTCGTTCACCAGCCTTGTCAGAGTACATATCGATTTCATTTTTTGCTAAACAAATTATAGTTCTAATCCCACAATTAGCTGGGTGACATCGTGAATAATCATGTGTCTGCATATACTAAAAGAGTAACGGTTACATACATTTTAAGTTACATAATTACTTTATTTGTAATTTAAAAATGAGTGTAAGAAACTGTACATTTAGAAGCCGCTAATATGTTAAAATTTTAGGTTTTTTTAGCAACGTTTTGAAAAACACACTTTTATAAAATTGAATAAGATTATTGCGAATTGTTATGTGATTTAGACTCAAGCGGTTATAGCTTGAATCATAAAATATATTACACAATCTGCAGCAGAATAATGTACGTGTGTTTATAATAAACATTGTAAATTAAATTATTTGATTTGATTTATCTTTAAAAAAGTAGAAGATATCGGTTGCATTGCAATATAGTATGTAATTAATTCATTGTATATGTAATCTGATACAAATCGAGTAAGTTAAAAAAGACACTTATTTTAATATAATACAATGTAAAAGGGGAAATAACCGCATTTTCTCTGTTATGTTTTATTTATATTAATTACATTTTTTTCTCCCCTTTGCTTTAGTTCAGGAAACATCAACGTTATTAAGTATATTTTTAATATTATTTTTGTTATTGATCTAAATCAGTCAGAGATATTTCCTAATTAACCGTTTTGTTAATAAAATTAAACAGAGACCCCATGTTTATCTAGCCGAACAACATAAATGAAGAGCAACAACAACTTATGACGAGGATTCACTATCATTCCAGCTTTGAATAAACACAACAAATTATATATAAAAAAAGAACCTTTTTACTGTCATCCTTTGCAATTTTTTTTTATAATCAAATACATGATATCATGTAAATAATCATTATGTACATTTGCAAAACCTTTCGTATTCATTTGGTGTTCAAAATTAGGTTAAAAAATAAATTTGATGTTGAAAAAAAAAACAAATATAGCCTATGAAAAAAAAGTCAACTTTTGTTTGACTGCAGTCAAAAGAAAACGAGATGCAAACTTAATTTAGACTCGTTCATATGGCATATTCTTTCTCCATTTAATTACTAAATATACAATTAATGTCAATGTCTTTGAAGCTGTGTAAAACTACAAAATATATATTATCATTACTATTTTAAATGTATAAAATAAATACATTAAAAATAATTTAAAAAAAAAAAATATATATATATATATAAAAAAGAACATTATTAATCTGAGTTTAAACCGTGTTATGAATTCAGTGATGTGTGTGTTGGAGTTGTTTGAAACATCCTCACATTCATCATACTTAAGGGAGATAACCGGCATTGTTATAACAGGTCTAACTGCGTCGGATTTATTATCCCCCTTTACATGTTATGGTGGGAACTTGAAAAAAATATTAAACAATTTCATTGAGAATCAGCTGCATGTGTGTACGTTTAATTTGTAGTGTATGTATTCGGATGGAACCAGTAGGCAGTTTGCATTAGTGTTCATATGGTTAATGTAATAGCAGTAGAGAGAATAAAAGCTGTGGTATTTCTATTTGCAGCCTCGAGATTTTTAACAATTTTTTTTTCGAATTACGTCAATCGCTATTGTTTTTCTATTTTGATAATTGGACATTTGATATCAAAATAAACAGGACGGTATTAACCCTTAACTGTGGTCAGTGGTGTAGCGAGGTCGGGTGTCACCCGGTGCGGCACTTAATGGTGTCACCCCCCCCAGAGGCATAGAGACCCTTCCCAGGGATAAACTTTCAAATTTTCGATTTGCACCCCCCCTCAAACTTTCGATTTGCACCCCCCACCTCGAGTTTTTCTCTGTATATTTTGCTAATTTTTGCCTTGGTGTCACCCCCCTAAATGGTGTCACCCGGTGCGGTCCGCACCCCCCGCACCCCCCCTCGCTACGCCCCTGACGGAAACATGATATGTCGTGTATTTTGATTAGACGTGGTCTAGGAATTATTATATACTAGCGTACCAGTCCCCGCGCGTTGCCGCGGGGATAGAAGAAAGTCTGACTGAATAATTAAGAAGGGTTTAATCAATGCGTTACCAATCCTATGTTCTTAGAGTTTCACTGGTTTAATACAATGGTCTACCTATTTTACCCTCTTCATTTTAAACTTTTTTTACATCAAAATGATCTTTTTAAACAAAGGTTATTGTATAATTTACTTTTATTCAGTGGCGTCGCTAGGTCGGGTGTCAACCGTTGCGGCACTACTATTAAAATAACTATAAAGAACTTTATAAATATTTAGGAAGAGAACCACGCTTTTCTTTATAGTTATTTAAATAATAGTGTATAAGTTATTTTCTCCTTTTTAGTGCATTATTATATAAAAGTTTGTTACTGCCTTATACATTCTAGTGTTACGCCCTGTCACCTTAGTTCATCCGTGTGCCATGAAAGTAATTAAAATTTTATATGAGCGGCGCCAGGGAGGATGAGATTTTCGTCAATACACGATTTGGCGCCCAGAGTTCTAGAGCGGCTATGTTAGCACTTGGCATCCGATAAACGTGCGTCCTGCATAGTGGGTAAGGGCTACTACTATATTCAGCGTTAAAAGTTTATCAGGGGCAATCGCCGGGCTTTTCCGTGAGCGCAATGGCGCATACGATCGTTTTAAACAGTGCGGTAGACAATGGATAAGATGGGGCGTTACAGTCGCTCACTAAATTGAATCAGACGTGTACGCCGGTGCCCTTGTAGGGTGCAATTCGGCTGCGAACAAAAAGGCTCACATCCGCCGCTGAGGGCCCTGTAATAAAAAAAATAATTATTAATCAGATAAATTAACCAAGGTTAAATTCTTAGCCGGGATGTTTGCTTTTGACCATAAAAAAACCTACAGTTCTCGAAATAATGAACCGTAAAAAGAAATTAGGTTTCGAAGGGGAAATCAGATCTAAATATAAAAGTAACACTTCTAAAAATAGAATTCTAACGCATGGAAATCCTTCTTTAGACGATCCAATCAGAGATTGAGATCGAGCATGTAATAATGCATCATTAGTAACGCTAACAAATTGCATCAGTCACACTAATATTTATAATACGTCAAATATGTTTTTACGTGTTAAAGAAAAATAATATCCATATTTACAAATAATGTTTTTGTCGTACAATTCTCTGTGTATAACTCGTAACTCTGTCACACTGTACGGATGCCCAGAAATGCGCCTCTTAAAGGAACAGCCGGACACCGCATGTCTAATCCAAGAAAACAGAGCATTGTCTATTACTTCAACGCCAGCTTTCTTGGAACACATCCCTGTGATGTACACATCTTCCCACAGGAACAACGGCAACCTCAGTGACGCCTGGTACAACAGCCACGACGCCTGTGCTGACGCGACATAAGCCGCACCTATCACATAATCAGGATAGGTGTCGTTGGGATACTCAGAGATAGAGATGTACCACTTGGAGTCAGTTGATCTCATTGGTTTTGCTTTTATCTGTTTCGATCCCATTACAAAAGCTTTTAAGTTGGGCTTTGTAATTTGAAATCGTCTCAGAGTATTAACTAAAAATGGGACATTAATATACATGTCGTCGTCTGCTTTGAGGATATATTTTGCCTTTGGACAGTGAAGAGAAATATACTTGAAAATAGATACGGATTTGAGACTGAGGTTGTTATAACAGTCTACAAAATCCTCTTGCAGTACGTCTCCGTACATAATAGATTCTTCAAGAATTAACTTCTGGGTTAAACTCGCGTTAGGCGCGCTGTTATCTGGTATTCCAATGAAGAAAATTAGAATTGAAGTAAAGGAGCTTTCATTAGCATTACTACCCCAGGTCTCTCGAATTGTCTGACGACCTTCAAAGTTGTCACCGCGAGTTAGAACACAGATAATTAAATATATTTCTTGGTGGTCATTACACTTAACAGTGGGAGAAATGACGTAATTGTAGTTATGTGGGTTAATGACGTGTTCGGATAGATATGGAAATTTGTTGATATTTAGGTATCTGTAGGAAGGCGGAGTTTTCGTGATGTTGATTGACGCGATTTCCCACACTTTTGAATGGTTAATTTTCACAGGGCTGGTCCATAATCGTGGAGTATCGTAGCTCTCTATTGCCCTGCTTTCAATGATATTTGAGTCAAAGCTTGAGAATACAGTGAAGAATCTATTATCAGATGCAACTATGCACAATACAATAGTAGACAATGCAATGGTGAAAACGAAGCTGAGTTTCACACATTTTATTTTAGGTAGGACTCGGAGACCATCGTACATCCACCTGCATGAATGAGAGTTAAAATGTGCACGTTTAAATGTGTTTTAAAATCTTAACAAAAATTAGTAACATACATAATACATTTTAGCTTAGATATCTACGAGAAATATAAGTGTAAGCTACCTATAAATATAAGTTACGTTCCTGTATATTTTAATGTTAATCTATATTATGTATAGCTTCAGCTTGTTGCATAATCAACAGTACTTTTATCAGCTGTACATATGTAACACATATGGTTACAAGCCAACGGGGATAACAAATAAAGTTTTAATTCATTGAGTTGCGGCCCCTGTGGTATTCGTGTTAAATTCTAATTTAACTTTCAAAGTATCGATCAAAAATGTTACTTAGTTTTTATACCTCACTATCTGTTCCCCCATTTAAAAAGGTAGTGATCTTACCTTATGATATCACGCTTCATTTCGTATTTGTTTTCAAAATAATCTTAGTTGTATGTAGAATTGTGTTGATTGTGACAAGACTGCTATAAAAAATGTTCAAAAATATGAGTATGAAAAATGACATTAGACAAAAACTTTAATTCAAATTGTATATTCTAATGCTTCAGAGAATATCTGACAAGAAAATAGAACACATACATTTAGAAAAATATCACAGCTATGGTCATTTAAATATATATATATATATATATATATATATATATATATATATATATATATAATATTTGAGAAATAAGAAGAATAATCTGTATCCAGAAATATCTGTTTAAATGAACCACATTATACAATAATTTTGTAAACATAAATTTACGTCGCAAACTAGCAATTTGTTTATAATTTATTTTTCAAAAATTATTATACCATATTGACACATTTGTTTACTTATTAAAAAAATAAAACATCTATAACCATCCCCTTATTATTATATAGAATATGCGACAAAGTTTAAGGGAAATCACACCCTTTGTATTTTAACTTGAAGAAGAAATATAGAAATAATAAATAGTCAATTCGTTCTACCTGCTGAAGCAAACACAGTATTAAACACGAAAAATGTGCCCACTGCTTTTCTTGACCTCATCAAAGAAAAGCGGAAGTGTTTTATCAGAAAAAATTTGCACGATTAGAAGAAAAAATTTCAAATGTCTGTGTGGCTATTTTTTTTATTTGCAAAAAGATACGCCATACTCTAACAGGATGTATTCTACGCCAGACAGCTGTCATTCTATTCATTTAACATTCATATTATTTCAACCCAAACAGTTGATTGGTACTGCTACGATGAAACAGTGGATAAGAAGGGGTCAGATTATGTGTACTCAAGGTTATTTGATAATTGCATCAATCAGCTGCCTTGTGAAGTGAAACAGATCAAGTTGTTTCATGATTCATACGCAGGACAAAAAAAGAACTGGACTGTATTGCGATTCTTATAATATCTAGTGCACAAACCTGAACCATTTGACAACATCACAGTATCATTTCCATTTCGAGATAATAGTAACCATTTTGTCCTACCTCCACCACCACTATAATCTCTTTTAAATGTCTGAATGATTTTTTTTTTCATGAACCCACATCAATTCACAAACAAATTGAGCCTTTCATAGCGAAATTCCACCAATTCTAAAATTTTGTTAAAGCTTAATTTACAACAGTAATGATCTGTTGCTTAAAAGCGAGCACAGAAGTATACGTCGAGCTGTTTTGTCCGTTCGATTCCACTGTTTCCCTTAGCTTACTTGGCGTCGAAAAATTTTTTAGGGAACGAAAATAAAACACCGTAGTTATCCCGTCTATCCAGGACTGTCATACGCGCACACACACACACACACAAATACACAGACACACAGACACCACACACACACACACACATATATATAAATTATATATATATATATATATATATATATATATATATATATATATATATATATATATATATATATATATATATATATATATATATATATAAATTTGAATGTAATTATATATATATACGTATATATGTGTACGTAAGTATATATATATATATATATATATATATATATATATATATATATATATATATATATATACAATTATATGTGTGTATGTGTGTGTGTGTGTGTGTGTGTGTGTGTGTGTGTGTGTGTGTGTGGCGCCAAACAAGGTGAAAGCTCGCCGGGGCGCCGGAAAGGGTCGCTACGCCTCTGGTTGTGAGGTCGTTGGAACAGGTAAAAGGGTCATTAGGGTAACAGTTATGGGTCGTGGTGGGTGACGAGCTGTGAAGAGAGTGAATGTGTGTTACAGGCGAGCGAGGCGTCAAAATCGGTGGGCTGTGTCTTGTTTGCATCTATTTGACAGTCAAGTACAGACAGGTTAGGTTTTTTTTTTAACTGACGTGTGGGGCAGTGGCGGAACGAGAAAGAAAAGGCCCCTCGACGAATATTTTTAGGGACCTATATATATTCAAGGTTTGCTCTAAAAATAAATTTACTCGAGTTCTTATGCACAAATGTGTTATTTTCCACCTGCTACACTAATAAATCAGAGATTTTCAAACTCGCGAGCTTGCCCCATTCAGTTATTCAAGTGTGAAGCAAAACGTTACCAATCGTGTATTTTTAGACTTGTGCCCTTTTTTCCCAGAAGTTTAATTAATGTTGGCAGTTTATTTCTTGGATCTTAGTCGCCACTCCAATATGTAAAAAATGTTACGCCTATGACAGAAACCTTTGCTTCTCAACTTTTCATGACGATCAGATGAATTATGTAGTAATGCATAACAGATGGAAGTATCTTTTCCCATATACAACTGTATGTGGCAAGCTCACGTGTCGGATAACCTTCTGATTTAGGTCATCCACACATTACATCACGTGTTTTAACGATTTACAAAAAGCCAGACCCTCACTGTTATAACTGAGTCCATTTTTTAAATATTAATAATAGAGGTCCTCCCCCTCCCCCTGCCTCACTGCTGGGTCTGGCGGCACTGTAGTTCCGCACCAGTTGTGGGGATACAGTGGAGCTTTAAAGTTAAAATTTGGATAACAGTGTTCTCATGAAAGAATTTAAATAAGGTCATAAATATTAATAAACTTAAAAATATTTTAAGGATACGAAGCAAAATGGGGTTTTTGGGTGGGGAGGTATGGGGGTAGGGTCATGGGCGGTAAATGTAAGATAATAGTAAAATAATATTAAATTATATTTTTTGAAAAGATTGTTTGTAGGCCGTGTAAATAAAACAATACAAAAAGAAAACAATCTACATACCTTCTTCTATATATAATTCTCTTCATGGAGACCATAGAAAACACCAAGCTGTAAGCACGCCTAGCAGCCCCCTCTCTTCCTCTCTAGGTATATCCCTACCACCCCCACACGGTCTTGTGAGCTGTGGTTCACGCTAAATGTTTACAATCGTAGAGCCGGGTTTAGTGACGGCTATTAAAGGCAGATAATTTAGTTTGAAACGATTTTAAACTTAGGAGGGTAACTAAGAGAAAACTGCTTTCGCGGGGGGGGGGGGGTGTAGGGTAAGGGTTGGGGGAAAGGAGGGAGAGGGGGGAGTTATCGTCCTTAACGACCTACTGGTAGTGGTACTGCCGAATTCACAAATTATGATTTACTGAAAAGTAGAAAATAAAACAACCAAATAGCGACATATGATACGCCGCGGGTCGGCTCGTATATATATAATCCTCTTCATGGGGACCATGCAGGACAAGACGTAGACGCACGCCGTCAATCCCCCGCTCTCCAGGCAAATTGCTACCACCCCACCCACATAAACCTGATGAGCATTAGTTTACGAAAACTGTTTACAATCGTAGAGCGGGGTTAGTGGGGTTAGTGGCGGCTAAATAATTAAGTATTAAACGAAGGGGAGATAACATTTCTGATTGATCTTTTCTTTGTCTGTTATTTGTTGCTTTCACTGGGAGGGAGGGGGGGTAGTGTTGAAGTCACAAATTATGAATGGCTGATAAGCAGAAAATAAAACAACTAGATGTCGGCGTATGCTACGTCGCGGGTCAGCTCGTAGAAAATATTTAGATAAAGAATAATTGGTGCGAAGCGAGGTGGTGACATGGGGGTTGTGGGGTTGGGGTCATGGAGGCAAACACGTCAGAAATTGGAGTGACTTGTGAGACACCCGAAGGGGGTGATGCATATCTAAGGTGTTTGGAATTTTTGTTTCACTTGTGGGTGGGTGTGTTTATGTGAAGTGTTTGTCGATTCGTCTGTTGAAAATTCGGTTCAAAGTCTGTGATGTCATGTGTTGTCTGTGACATGTGACATGTGAGTCTGTTTGTCCAAGTAGTTTGTAGATCGCAACGAACTCTGTGTTTGGGCAGTTTTTTTTTTAATGTTATCGCTTGCGATCTTAGAAAATTGAGTTGTCGGCCACTAATTAGCCAACCGTGAAATGAAAGGTGTTCACCCTCGAGCTCTCTGCGATCAAGCGATAGCTAGTGGTTTTTTTAAACTGGTTATCCCCCAATTTAATTACTAAATCTATAATTGTAAAATTACATTTTAATGATTAAACTATCTACCGAATTTTATTTTGATTTTCTTGAATTGTCATTTAAGATATACGATTGTGCCGATTTCCAGCTCAAACGGATATTGGGACGTAGATTGAATTATTATTTCAATATTTGTGGAGCCACACAGACACACAAATGCACACATATTTAGTGAGTTACAAAAGCCTTTAAAAATTGTGTGTATGATTTTTACTAAAATGCATGTATATAAAAAATTCTCGGGCATACCTCTAGGCTTCGAAAAATTATCCAGACGCCAAGCATTTGAAATGCATTAAAAAGACGCAATTATTAGACTTTACTAAACAATCCAATATTTATTTTAACTAAATTTATATAAAAACGTCGCCGTTACATCCGTTCTTTGTGATCTTGTTCTTAATACGGACGGTTTCATCAACGCGTTACTAATATTGCACTTTTAGACGCGTGACCACATTGTTTCGAAAACGGAGTTACTCAAAAAAAATATAAAGCGGGTGCTAGATTTTTTATCATTGTTGTTTGGGGCGAGTGTGTACATACTAAATGCCAGACGTCACAGGGCATGCTGTATGAAAACCGTCGGTGTACATTAGTCACTTTCCGTATAATCAATATAGAATAAGCCTCGTCGATAGCCCAGGTTTCAGGAGTTTCTCGGGTTCTAACGCTTAAATTTCCGCAGTAGCGGCGTGTTTAGTTTAGTCCTTCAATAGCGTGGCCTACCATTTCCTTAACAGAAATATAGATGTTAATGTACGACCGAGATTCTCCCAATCGAGCACGCGGTGGGGCGCTGGATACTGTTCCTGTCGCAATTTCTAAATTGAATCAAAGTATTACTAACCTGTGAAGTGTACTCTCTAAAGCAAACATCGACACCTGGTGCGGTTTGACCGTTAAACCAAGTAGTCCACACGAACTACTGTGACAGACGA